ACCACCACCCCAGACCCCGCCCCTCCCGGCTGTTGCCCCGGCGACCCCAACATCATTACGCGACGTGACACCCCCGTCTCTCCCTTCCTGGTCCCTCGGCAGAGACGGATCCCGCCTGTAAAAGAGAAGTGGGGGAGAAGGGAGAGGAAGCCGCGGCGGCGGCGGCAGCTTTAATCGGCGGCGGCAGACTGACGCGGATGGGGGGGGGGAGAAAAAGAAGCAGCAGCAGCGGCTCTCCTCCCTCACTTGGAACTCCCCGCCTCTTTTCCCTTCCGCGCACCCCCTTTTCCGACCGGCAAAGTACGCATGCGCCAAACCTTGTCCTTATAAGGTGCGACTGGTTCGCATTCTCCCGCCTTCCCCTCACAGTGGATGCCATTGGTCGGAGCGGGCAGCACGTAGGAAGACAAACGGGGCACACGGGGGAGGGGGAGCGAGAGGCGGAGCTTTCGTCGAAGGGACGTCGTTGGGGGCCGTTTTGGCCCCCCCTCCTCCCTGTCGGTGCCTCGTCTCGGTGGAGCGCTCTCTCCCGGCATGTTTCGCCCGCCTCCTCTTTTCCCCCAGCCAATCCCCTTAAAGGAGGAACGGAAATGGAGCCGTAAAAAGCAGCCGCCTCCCCTCACCCTTTCCTATGCACCTGATGGGGGCCAGGCCTTGTTCGTGGAAGAGAGAGCGGCGGGCCGAGAGGCAGACAGTTGCGCGCGGTGGGGAGGCTGAGAACAAGAAAAGTGATAACCTCATGGGCTTTAGAAGGGGGAAAGGAAGGTTTCTTTCAAGTGCTTCGCAACATGGAGTCGTGGACGGTCTTTCCTCTTTCTCTCTGTGTGTGTGTTGTCATGTTTCTAGCCCGTCGTTCTTCCAAGGGCCTGAGGATGGATGTGGGTCTTTCTGTTTTTCATCCCGCCCTCACGACGACGCTTATGAACGAAGTTCAGAGTTTTCTCCCAGGGGCGTCCAGGGGATCTTTGAGTAACAGTGAGGTATCTAGAAGTCTGTCGTGTGAATAAGGCTTCCGCATACTGATGTAGTAGCCTCAGCACGGCAAACACATTGAACAAGCTTTGTGCATCATCCAAAATTACGGAGTTGTCCAGCAAGAAAAGGATGGGCGTCCCAAGAATGAGCCCCGTTGTGTTGGTGCGCCGTGCACAGAGGCGCAGGCGCACTACCTGCGTAACTATTAAGGTGACGAGAGGCCCCTCCCGCACTCACCCGCTCTGCCCTGGGGGCTTCTTGGCGGAAGTAACGTGAGCTCGCGAGACGAGTTGTTGCGTGCCGGGAAACACGCGGCACTCTCTGCCCGGGGTCCGGGGACTTTCCCCTAGGCGGGCGCGCTGCCCAAGAGGAACTATCGCCCTCCGTACGTAGCCTAGAGAGCAGGTATTCAGGACGCCTTACGAAAAAAAAGCTTTCTCAAGTCTCTTATAAAGCTCTAGCTGTAATTGTAACTCACAGTTATAGTGAACAAAATTAAGTATTAATTATTTCTCCTTCCTTCAACACACAAAAAACACAGAAATACAGCATTTCCTCACAACCGTCTATATGGTGTTTTTTTTTTTTGAGGGGGCGAGAAATTTAGAGCACAAGCTCAGCTGCTCTTTTTATGGCAAACCAGTGTGGCTTACATATATTATGCAAATTTCAATTGCCGCCCCACCCCCTCATCGGACCTAACCAATAGGAAATAAAAAACGCTTCGCTTTGCTGGGAGAGAATGCGCGCCGTGGAAAGTCACTCGAGACGGAAGTAATGGAGGGAAAAGTCGAGACGGCTGGGATGATGGAGACTCCACTTTTCTTTCAGCTCTCCTCTGAAGAGCTTTAGAATCCCTTCAAGGTGTTCTGAGGAATTTGCTGCGCTTCCCCCCCCCCGTTATGACCCGCCTTTCTTTCATTGTGCTCAAGGCCACAAATATGTTTCTCTTCGTCCTCCTGGGTCTGTGAGGGAAGTCAAGGTGAGACTAAGTGACCACACTGAGTTTCATGGCTGGGTGGGAACTGTCCGAAGTCTGGATCCGACCAGGACACCACACTGAGTTCAAATAATGTGGATGACAAGTCCTTCTCCCCTCGGTGAATGTGCTGCTTATTTCACTTGAAAGGGTATCCATATACAGTCTGCCCCCAGAATGGCCGGAGAAGGCAGAGATCCAGGCCCACTGGGTGACATCTCTCAGAGGAGGTGCCCTATAATGGATGGTTCTGCAGTACCTCTTGGAAGACCCCGAGCTCAGTGGAGCAAAGGAGTATTTCACTATCCCCAATACAGTACAAAGATCCCTAAAGTTATGGATTCTGATGAAATAGGTCCAAGTCTAGAGATTATGCTGTTGACCCTTATCACATTACACTCTTATAAACAGAAGGGCAGGGGGAGAACTAAGATCTTGAGAGATCTTGCTGTCTGTTATGGCAGGGAGGTTGATGATGACTATATGTGGTTGATGGCCTTGAAGCTGAGGAGGAACTGGTACTTGTAACATGAAAACCAGTGTATGTAGTGACTAGAGTGATGGACAGTATGGATTCCGACCTAGCCACAGAAGCTCACTGGCAGGGGAGCAGCAATGGTAAAACCACCCTTTAAATATCTCACTTCCAAAACACTATTAAGAGGGCTGTAAGTTGGATGTAAGAATCCTGGGTAAAACCATTTATATATGAACTAGAAAAGGGAAAGGCACACAAAGCTTTCCCAGCTAGATCATGGGTCATTGATCCACCTCAGAGATATTACTGCTATGCAGAACTGCTCCAAGATGAATAGAAAGCTTTCATTCCCACCCCACCTTGTGCTGTTAAATTTATTCCATTCCACTAAGGACAAGATTAGGAAATTGTGGTACTCAAAATGCTGCTCTTGGTGTTCCATTTATTGCCAGAAATGTGGCTGTAGCTTTGAAGCTGCTTCTCATGTTACCTTAGGAGAGATACAGATCTAGTAAAAACATGGAAGGAGTTACTCCTTCTAGCCCCCCATTTTTTCCCTTAGTCTTAGGGCATTTATAAAAAATAAAAAATTTGAAAATTTCCTCCCATCAAATGAAGACAGGAAGAGGTAATAAAGGGATTTTGGTTTTTCCTTTGTGAGTTTTCTCAAAGGTAAGGATAAGACCTGCTGGCAGCTAAATCCAACACGAGACAGTACTTTTTATTTTTACAAGTGATGCAACACATCAGTGCTGCCCACAAACAATGTAATTTTTTTTTTACTTCTGCTACTCCATGGAGCAGAGGAAGTTTTTAGTTTTCCAATATCATGAAGTGGTTGCCTTCTCCCTATTCTGATGTGCTCCTCCTTTCAATTTCCTATATCATGATATGGGAAATTGAAAGGAGGAGCCAATCCAAATAAGGTCATTTGAGGTACATATATTTGGAAGATATGCTATTTATAGTAAGAAGAAAATTGAGCCAGCACCGCTGAAAGCCTAGTTAGCTGAGTCGTTACACCATTTGTAACCTTTAGTGGAGCTGTAGACTGAGAAACAATGTTCACAACCTTCCTGAAACTCATGCATATAAAACAGGGTCTTTATAAAGCATTATTTCAATATCTCTGCTAATGTTCCCTATGTGTATTCTGGAGATCCATCATATGGATATCTTACCAGGCAAACATTTCTTGTTCAACCTGTAGGTCAAACTAGGAAGCGCAAGCAATTATATAAAGCACTTAAGAAAAAAATACTGCAGTATTAAGGGATACTTTGACACAATGTGATTTATCTTGTATATGATTTTCAAAAAGCTTAGCTCCTTCATCTCTTCATTTTTTAAAACATAAAGTTTCAGTCTGTTAAAGCCTTAAAGTCTAACCAAGAACCAAACAAATGGAAACACCTTTATTTAAATGATTTTTTTTCAAACACTGGATGCCACTCTTAAAACCCAATCCTATATAAAATACCATTTAAACAGAACATAAAAATGCATTTAAATAGAACATAAACATCCAACAAATGATTTGAAGCTGACAGAAGACTCCTGTCCCCACTCCACTCAGAATCTCTCCATTACAGCATGGGATTGTACAAGGAAGCTGCTGGGAGAAAAGGGGTGAGGATAATAAAAAACCAGTCCTGGATCCTATGTTAAGGAAGCTTCCTGTTCCATTCTTCCTGCAGTCCCCACTGCCTGTGTTCCAAAGCAATTTGCTCAGGAGCACCCTTCAACCCTCTTAAAAGGCATTTTTGAAGGGGCAAATGTTGCTGCAAGGAGAGGAAACCTTACACAAAATTTTCTTGCAGTGAATTTTCTTGAATTAACTACAGACCATTCAGTGTATTATCTATAGATAACTGCATTATTTTAGCAACTTCAAGAAATGCTGTTTGTGGCTTCCTATTTATGTAGCAGTTGGCAAATTGAATAATATTATCTTGCTCCCAAACCTACAGGTTTCATCCTGATTTTAAAATCAAAGAACTGCTGCCTTGGAATATTTATTGTGTGAATAAATAAACCCATGTACTTTGCTTTATTACTCATACAGAAAAGGCCAACACAGAGGTAACACCTGTACATTTAGGCAGGTGACATAACACTGCAGAAAACCTGATCATGTCCTGTTTGTACAAAATGTTTTGTGTTTGAAATTTAATTAGCATATTTGTAAATACATACTGAAGTCAAAAGAAAATGTTTATATTTTAATAAGTCACATTTCATGTGGGCTGCAAGAGCTGATAACACTACAGCTTTTAAGACTTTAAAAGCAAATATCAAAGTTGTAAAAATTGAATGTTAGTTAAAAGTGCTCAATGAAAGCAGAATATTACATGAAAGCTAAAAAATGTTCCCAAATTATTGCAGACGTAAAATAAGCTTAATATAGAAAATTGTATTTATTTGAAAAAGTGAAAATTGGATTTCTCATAAAATATAAGTTAAATCTGCTTAGAGAAATTTTTTGTTGTGATACAATTAGATGATTTTACTGGTAACTTGAATGTATATTAAAACAGGACCAGCACATCTTTTATAATTAATTTTTAAATTAGTACTACATTAAAATAATCTAAATAAGGGGAATGCTTTAACAGACATTATGAACATTATGACCAACACACATAGCAAGTGGTAAAGCGTCTGACTAATTTTAGACATCTTTTGACAATCCCAATACAATGGTTCTTACCAACATATTAATTTGCAGCTTTAAAAAAAGATATGAGTTGAGAAGCGAGCAATACTGTCATCAAACTGCTGGACTTACAAAATTAGACTGCACTGAACAGCAAACTGTATTTAATTATTCTGTTAAAAAATAGAAGACTTAAGTAGACTATTTAGCAAATAAAACAGCACACTAACGTGCTATGTACATTAAGGCAGACCTCTGCACGCTTTACATCTACAAAGATTTATTGGCTACTAAGTGAAAAGAACAATGATATTTGTTCTGCAAAACTGAAAAATTTTACAAAATATCTGGGAATCTAATTTAATATACAAAAGTAATTCAGTTATTTGTGATAAAACATTATTTGCTAGTATAAGCAGTGAGTATTTCATTGTTTTGCAATTATTTCTTGAGGATTTCTTAAAGCTGGAGGTAAATTTAATGGTTTTGCTTCTTCATCTAGAAGCACCAAGTCTTCAATTTCCTTTCCTTTATACTTTCTTTTACATAACTTCACTACAACCTTCTTCTTGAGAAACAGTTTCAGTGCCTCTCTGGAAGCAACAGCTTTGGCATTTTCCTTACTTTTTCCACAGCCAGTACCCAAATATACAGATTTGCATCTCAGTTCACAAACCACATTTTCCTGAGAGCTTTTATTCTGAGGTAAATCTGCAAGCTCTTTTAGTGGAACAAATTCAACATCTAATGTTGCCTTTACAGACTGAATGGATGAGTTCAAGAGTTCTACATGGTTGACACTGGCACTAAATCCTCCAGCAGCAACCAGTTTCCAAGCAACAGCTTTGTATAGTCTGTTGAAAAATGGCTGCCTCTCTTTTGCATCTTCATTTGTCAATAATTTGCATGGTACTTTGGGAGGAGGTACACTTGTGTGTGAAGTGCTTTTTGAAGCTAATACTGCAGTACCTTCTGAGCTAACTTTCTTTTCGGGCAGTGAGACATTTTCAGATTTGGTTTCTGAAGGTTTAGCTGAACAGTAATTCATCTTTGATTTAGAGCCAGGCAAGGAAGAAGCCACAACAGATTTGTGCTTAGCAGTTGCTGCAGTTTCATAATTAGCAGCTATTCCTTCTATCCTCACTCCAACTGAAGATTCTGCAGGCGCCACCTTTTGGGATACGGGTGAAGATACTGCAGGCACTGCCTTCTGGACCACAGGCAAAGCTGCTGTGGGCGCTACCTTCTGAGCCACAGGTGATGATGTTACAGGTGCTACCCTCTGGGCTGCAGGCGAAGATGCTGCAGGTGCTACCTTCTGTACCACAGATGAAGCCAGTATCTTTCCTGGATTATCTGTTGCCTCTTTTATTGGGTTCTTCACAGGTTCAACATCTTTTTTCAGGAACACCTCTGTCTTTGCTGTCTTTTTACTGCTATCGCTCGCTTCAGGAATTCTGTCCAGGCCCACAGCTCGTTTCTTGCAGGGCTCTTCCAGCCCTTCTAAAAAGTATAAACAAATTATGTCTGTAATTCTGAGTGAATTTTCTTATCTCAATCAAAGAGTACAAACTTTAGAGAGAGTTAAATAATCTTAATTGCCTTAAAGTCTAACCTATAATATAATAAAACACTTGTGGCAGAATCCTGTTCCTTCTACTCATACAACAGGCCATTGAAGGAGCAGCTACACAGCTTTAAGCTTGCACAAAAATATTATTGAGCATGTCCTTGAGTAACCTTGGAATTATCTAGCCACTTGTGCAATGGACTGTTGTGCAAGTGGAAAGAAAGAGCATCCTATTCTTAGAATCTGCTATAATTTTACAGATATACTAGTAACATCTACCTACTTTAGGAACGTGCACACAACATAGATAACCATACTCACTAATTAAAGTCAGAATCAAAATCAACTTTATTTACTTGCAAATCCTCTGTAACTATTAACAGGCAAAATGAGTGGCATGAAATATGTATGTCTTATTCTAGTGATCCATCTTTATATCAAATGCATGTTTCTCATATTTTAGTGTTTCAGAGATTTAGTAAGGGAAGGTAAAAGGCTGAAGAAACACCAACAAATTGTGAATTTAAAGAATAAAAACAACTGAAGTTTTTAAAACACTAACATGTATTCATTTTACTGTACTCCTATATGTATTTGCACAGCTATGATCTGCTAACCATTGCTACTGGATATGCGTCGTTTCACCTTGGCAACCAGTTCATCTCTCAGAGTGTGGGATGGAGCGTTGGTCACAGTGATGCCTGCAGCCATGTCCATCACTTTTTCCATTACTTGTGGAGGATACCTATAAAGAAAAAGGCAGCAAGAATTAGTACTTTGAAGAAGAACCAGGAAAATCAGCAATAGCTGAACATGCCCTGCAACAAGCTGGACATGAAATCCTATTTCAAAACACAGAAGTACTGGACAACCCCAGCAATCATTATGTTAGTTAGACTACACAGGGAAGCCATTGACATCCACAAACATCAGCAAAGCTTCAACAAAAAAGAAAGTCTAAAACTCAACAAAGCCTGGCTCCCAGCACTGAAAAATATAGCCTGCAAAAAGGTCAACAAACTCCACCCAGCCACAAAGGCCAGTGATCACTGCACACAAAGGACTAGCTAACAACACCCATCAATCACAGTGATAGATCATCTCCCCCTTATCACAATACACTTATAACAAAAAACACCCTATTCACCCAATCTCCTGAAAAGGAGAAAAAGCTGATCCCACATCTACAAATACTCAACTATCCCACACAAGACATCAGAACACAGAGAGAGTTGTAATTCTTGCCCTCTGAAGATGCCGGCCACAGAGACTGGCAAAACATTAGGAAGAAAAACCTCCAGAACATGACCAAACAGCCTGAAAAACCTACAACAACCACTTTGAGTTTATTTAGGTATACCATAATTTAAATGATTTGTAGTTTTATTATTTAACAAGGAAATGTATTTAATAGGAGTTTTTGCAATGGGGAGAACCAGCACATGCTATTGCCTCCACTCATTCCCCTAATAAGAAATAAAGCAATTTGGTAAAGGCTTTCAACTAATACTACAGCTACATTACTCCCAAAGAAAAAAACAAGAGTAGAAAGCTACGTACCAGATTCACACAGAGACTCCTACCTTTATTTCAAGGCCTCAGAATCCTCTTAGTTGGCTCACAAGCAATGAATTACAGCCTACTGCCAACCCTGTTTTTCTCTACTCTTTCCCGTGCTGTTAAATAAATTATTTTGCCTCTCTCTTGCTCCCTTCTGCAACACTTATTTGTTGTTAAGTGCTATCAAATCACTTCCTACTTATGGTGCCCTTAGAGTTAATGGACTAGGACTCTGGAGACCGGAGTTTGATTCCCTTGCTCTGCCACTGAAACTGATGGTGGTGGTAGAACTGATAAAACCACTCCTTAGATACTTCACTTATTTTGAAAACCCTATTAGGGTCACTAAAAGTTCTGATTTAACAGCACATAACAAATGAATTTGTGACCTGCAAAAAGTCATATTGTCATAACCCTGTGGGGCTCTTACAAACTCAAGGCTGTGGCTTCCTTTATTATGTTTGGTAAACTTGGGGAGTGGGGGAAATCCTCACCAGGTGAGAACATTTTTCTCTTGGAGTCTGACCCTTGGTTTACTATGTAGTACAGTGGTGCCTCGCTTTACGATTGCCCCGCATTATGACGAAACCGCATTACGACTATTTTTTCCAATCGCAAAATGATGGTCTGAATGGGTTTTTTTCGCTTTGCGATGATCGGTTCCCTGCTTCAGGAACCGATTCCTCGCAAAACAACGATTTTCGGACAGCTGATCGGCGGTTTCAGAATGGCTCCCTGCTGTTTTTTGGGATGGATTCCTCGCTGCACAGGCACCAAAAATGGCCGCCCTATGGAAGATCTTCGCTGGACGCTGAGTTTCCAGCCCATTGGAACGCACTAAACAGGATTTAATGCATTTCAATGGGCTTTTTATTTTCACATTACGTTTTCGTTCTACAGCGATTTTGCTGGAACGAATTAACGTAATGCGAGGCACCACTGTAATCCTATTCCAGGTACACATGACTAATTCTTAAAGCTTGCAGACTGTGCTTCCTGCCACCTACTTGAGAGAATGTTGTTCTTAGTGTACCTGTTTAACTATGAAGGTTGCAATCTCTACCCAAGTTCACTGACAAATCCCATTCCGCCTGAGGCACTTCAGAGCAGAACAAGGACCAGGCTTTAAGAGATTTCCTAAAGGGGATGATGGTAACTGATTTGGGTTGTGTAAGGTGAGGATGTTCTTTCCTTAGACCCTGTGCTTGCAGTGTAGTGTTAATAATGTCCTACCTCACTAGGGAAATGTTAAAGATTGCCTAAAATCTTTAATTTTAGTTGAATTTCTCTATCTTTCTTAGCTTCCTGAGATGACAGTGGCTGCCAGCAAGTACCAAGCAAAGGAGATCCTCATTACGGACAACCCAGACCTATTTTGATATAGATATTAATATAATCATGAACAAATAATGTTGATATTTAATAATTATTAAGTCAATAATAACTTAACACATTCAGTAATACTACTGAGGATTATAATTTAATATTAAATAATTAAAATGTTTAAATGGACATCTGCAGTGTCTCCTAATAAGCCTTTTCACAGGATACGTGGGCAGGAACACCCAACTGGTGGTTTGGCATGGGAGCATAGCCATGTCACCTGATATTATACAGGGGGGCATCTAGCCCACTCTCTTCAAGTAGTTCACAAAAGGTAACAGTTGTGCCTTCAGTGTTGTAGATTCAGGGGAACAACAGGAAATCTGTGGCTGAGAAAGTAAGCCTGTACTATAATTACTCAAGTCTGGAAGCACACCACAACATATATCAACTTCACTTTATTAGAACACACAGAGTTTAGTGCTGTGAGATTATAAGACCCGGACAAGATGGAAGTCTTGAGGGTGGGTGGCCCTTTCATTAGCAGCATAGGTGACTCCCTCTCTTTTGGGGGGTTGATCCTTGCCGCAAAGAGTGAGGTCCGCAGCTTGGGGATACATCTGGACCCAGCGCTTTCCATGGAAACCCAGGTGGCGTCCGTGGTCGGTTCCGCCTATTTCCATCTATGGCGGATTGCCCAGCTGCGACCATACCTTGATGGGGGGCCCTCACTACTCTAGTCCATGTGCTCGTAATCTCGAGATTAGACCATTGTATTGCACTCTACGTGGGGCTGCCTTTAAGGTTGACGCGGAAACTTCAAGGGGTCCAGAATGTGGCAGCCAGGCTTCTAAGTGGGGTGAGGAAATATCACCATATCTCTCCCACTCTGGCTGCCTTGCACTGGTTGCCCATCCGTTTCCACGTTGACTTTAAAGTGCTTATTATTACTTATAAAGCACTAAATGGTTTGGGACCTCAATATTTGGCAGATCGCCTTCTCCCAACTAGATCTACCCGAATCACCCGCTATAGCTAGCAAGGACGGCCGAGGGGCCTGACACAGAGGGAGGCCCGGAAAGAAAGAACAAGGAACCGGGCCTTCTCGGCAGTGGCCCCTCGGCTGTGGAACACTCTTCCAAATGAAATTCGGCTGGCACCCTTGCTGGGTGTTTTTAAAAGCCAGCTAAAAACTTGGCTATTTAAACAGGACTTCCCTCCAGTCAATTAAGTTATCTCTATTTTTAGCTTCTTTGTTTTCTTTTCCCTTCTGGTATGCCATCTTGGCCGTGTCTCGGTCGGTAATCCATGGCACAAAGTGTAATTGTAATTATAATCTGCAAATATTGTAAAAATTTTCTATTTGTATACAGTGGTGCCTCGCATTACGCCGTTAATTCGTTCCAGCGAAATCGCTGTAGAACGAAAACGTAACACGAAAATAAAAAGCCAATTGAAACGCATTAAAACCTGTTTAATGCGTGCCAATGGGCTGGAAACTCAGCGTCCAGCAAAGATCCTCCATAGGGTGGCCATTTT